GGATGGCCATTGTCTCTTTAAGCTTCGTGGGTGGAATTTCATTCTAACGGCAGTCTGGAAGTGATTGTTCTATACGGCTGATGAATTCATTAACGCCTTCCTGGGAATAACTCAGGCGTGCCCTGAAGACATGCTGTCGCGGCCCCCAAAGACAATCGTGTGCATTAAGACTGTCGGACAAAGATGTGTTTTCGTACAAACGCAGTGCATCAAAATGCCTTTGACTTTCTGCACCAAGATGTTGTCTCAGGAGTCTGACAGATTGTTACTGAGAATAGTTCAAGGTAATCGCAGAAGGTTCTCCTCCAGCAAATCCAAATAGCTAAAGTTAGCTTACAAGATGCATCGTTCCAAAACGGTATCCAAAATTGCTCTCCGTCGGCAGTGTTACAACTCGGCCCGTACTGAATCACGACACTTACTAGAACGCAGTATTCGGCCCGTAGCGCACGAAAGTAGTACACGTCAGTTTCAGCAATACACAGAATGTATTGTGTCGCCTCAAAGACAACGCTTCGCATAAGTTCAGGCAGTCTAATCCATGGTTAGCTGGCGTTAATGGACACACACTGACTGGTGGATCCAACCGATAGGAACAGTTTAATCAATAACCTGTTAGTTGACCCCTGTTAGGTGGAGCCTGGGATACTAGTCGGTAATCAATGACACGTAAGAGCCTTGTCAAATACGGGACAGTATAGAAGTTGTAGGCGACTGAACCCAACTATATTATGCAGGCTACAAAATAGGAAGCGAATCAACCAGAGCGAGAAACGGTGCAGCAAGGTACTCACCAAAACGGTTTGTCAAAACGGATATGCCGTCAGTAAAACAAGTGGACGTGTTGAAGGTTAACACAACCGTAAACTCCAATGTTGCAAAATACTGAAACAGCGTGTTTTCCGGTACACTACAAGAGCCTCCCACTAGAAGGCTGAAGGATGGAAGCCTAGGATGGAGCAGTTAGTGGGGGAAAGCGGAAGGTGAGAATGGGTGCGAATAGTTGCATGGGCTTGAGCAAGGGCTTCCAAGATGGGGTGTGTAGCAGAGTTCGCTGGGTCCAGCCTTTTGTTATTTATTAGTTATGATGATCGTGTGGACCAGAGTGCACCATCGGTGGGCCGTCGAGGCTGGCTGGTCTTACTGCAAAAACTGGGTAGTCTATAAAAAAAGGCCGACAGGACCTTCCCGACGGTGCGCTTGGCAGGTGTCACTCTCTCCACCGCACTCCGGTCCTCGTCCCATGAAAAAATCCAGGCGTCTTCGTACCACGAAGAAATCCGGCGTCCTCGTCGGAAACGCCTAGCCAGGCGTTTGGGGACCAACCCGTTCGTCGCTGTCTGCGGCGAAGGGCGACTGACTGTTCCTTGGGTCGTCTGACGAGTCACGCTTGGGTTGCTTAGAGCCGGTTGGCTAGTCACACGATGGTTGCCTTGGCAGTTCCGGCGGTTGAGTTTCTGCAAGGTAGAACTCAGAGGTGGTGGGCAAGGGTCGGGGAAAGTGGCTTGACACTGGAGACGGTACATGGCATGCATGATAAAAGCAAATACGCTTTTTGCGTTTTCAAACTGTTTTGGGTATTTTTTTGTCGATTTTGCAAAATGTTTGTGGATGAGACGCGTGATTACCACTAAAGACAAAAAGGCGTGTTAACGAAAATAGCAAAGGTTTACAAAATCTGCAAAACGGACCGGAATTCTGACCTGTCTACCGAGTCGGTCGATTGCCTAGGGTTAAGACGGGGTAGTTTGAGGGTCAAGGAGAACGGAGGATTTCGGGATATCCAGTGCTCGGGAAGCCACCATAAGTGCGGGTGCTTGTGTGATAACATCAGAATGGGTTGCAAGTGGTTCATCAAAGCAAGCCGCTTCGTGGCGGTTGATGGACACCGTTGTTCGGTGACCATTCTGGTCTAAAGTGAAATGTTTCGGAGTCCGTTACAGGACAGGCCAGTATAGTGAGGCTGGAGAGGGCGGAGGAAGACATGAGTGGAGGTAGAGAGTCCGCTGTGCATTTGCACATCTCTAGTCTGCTCACGGGGCGGAATCGGGCGTAGTGAACGCATGCGTTGAGCTAGGGAGGACGCAAAGTCAGACGGAAGCATACCGGACGATGCGGGAGGTGAAACGAATTCTCCTGGCAACTTTAGCGTTGTGCCGTAAACCAGCTCTGCTGGTGCACATTGCAAGTCAGCTTTGATGCTTTTGCGAATGCCTAAGAGTACGGGCGAAACGTTTTCGCTCCAGATAGGGTCGGAGCAGGCGCAGAGCGAGGCTTTAAGCTGTCTGTGGAAGCGTTCAACTAACCCGTTGGCTGCAGGGTGATACGCTGTGGTATGAATGCGGCGACAGCCTAAATAGTTGCAAAGCGTATCGAATTATGAAGATTCGAAAGGCGTTCCTCGGTCAGTTGTAATGGTGGATGGGCATCCGTAGTGCGAGACCCACCGGTCTAAGAAGGCCCGGATAACAGTCTCAGCTGTGCAGTCTGTTACGGGAATGGCTTCTGGCCATCTGATGAAGCGGTCGACACATGTAAGAATGTATACGTATCCGCGTGAAGGAGGCAGTGGACCTACCAGGTGTACGTGTACATGCGAGGGTCCGGGGCGGGGAATGAACCAAGAAGACTGCGGGTGTGACGATGTATTTTGGAGCGCTGGCACTGAAGGCAGGCGCGAGCCTAGGTACGAACATCTTTGTTTACGCGTGGCCAGACGAAACATTCGGTGACTAGTTTCAAAGATGCACGGATACCGGGATGTGATAGTGAGCCCAGTGCATCGAAGACTGTGCCTCTGAAGAAGACGGGCACGAGAGGTCTAGGACTACCTGTGGAAGTGTCACAGAGAATGGTTCCTTCCGTGGTTTTGAGAGAAACAGGTTGTACATGCAGCAAAGTGGATTGCAGAGTGTGTTGTATATCTTCATTTTGAGCCTGAGCCGGTGACATGACGGCAAAGTTGACGGTAGGCAATGATTGGAGAGTGAGGTTGACGCGTGAGAGATCCCTATCGGCTGCTCTCACATATAGTCCACCCCAGGATGTTGAACATCATTGGGCTTGTTTGCACGAGACGATGCTTTCCTCTGGTCACTCGATTTATGGTCTTACCCAACACAGTTTGAAAAGTTAGATCTCCGTTCGCTCGTTGGAATTGTTTGACCGTTGTCGAAATGTGCCAGCAGAGTCAGTTCATAATTATGTGCGCCGGACACAATTGGCAACTCAACGCTTGCGTAATGACCGCGAAACTTGGTGGTCTCAGCGCGCCTCGGAGTTGGTGACCGCTGCTCGCTCTTGCAATTTCCGCAAGCTCTTCCAACTCATTCGGTTCACTAACCCCAGAAGGCTTGGGGTCAGCGAGACTATCTGCGAAGCGGATGAGTCACGAATCAATAACCTGCAAAGACACGTAGAGCGTTGTGCGGACGTTCTCACTCTCGATTATATTACCTTCCATTGACCGCTTGTATGCTAAGTACATCCAGTTTCATGCCTCGGGTCATTTCCTTGGAGCCACCTAACGAACAGGTCTTCGTTGAAATCCGACACCTCAAGAAATTTAAGTCTTCTGGCTCGCGCAAACTTACTCCGGAGATGTTCAAGTTTGGCGGCTCAGCACTTGCCATGCAGTTGACATTGCTGTTTTCCAAGATATGGCTCGAGGAGAAGGTTTCATCCTCCTGGGATGAGTCAGTAATTGTCCCTATTTTTATGAAAGGTTCCCGCACATAATGTGCCAATCACAGGGGAATCACTCTCCTGCCGGTTGTTTTGAAACTGCTAGTATCCATTCTGCTCCGTAGAGTTTGCAATTGAAGACGTTCTGATGCGATCTCTGGAAGGCTGCCAAAATCTTAGTGTTGAGCTGCTTTTGGGTAATCGCGTGAGTGACTTAGCTTATGCTGATGATATCGTTGGCAGCACCGGGCTCGCAGCGATGAAGTCCGGTGTCGCGTCTTGGGAGACATGAGCCTTCCCTTTATTCGCCTTGTTGCACTGCATCAACTGAAGTGGCTTGGCCACATCCTACGCAAGTTATGCGGGCGCTTACCACTCCGCGCCTTATTTTCTCGCACTGAATTGAATTGGAAGAGAACGCGTGGAGGTCAGTCAACCACTTGGTGGCACAGCAGGAAATAGCTGACCTCGTGTCACACCATCGTCGGCCCTGTGCGTCTTCCTGGTTGGGGGCCCAAGGATGAGGATTGTCAACGGTTCGACACAATTGTTCATACTGCATGAAACCGGAATAAATAGAAGTACTGTATGTTTTGAACAATGTGATTTGAAAAGCACGGTAAGAAGACGAAAACTGTTAGATGCACGCATTTCGTATTGTCTCCTCAGTACCACTAACAATAACCGGTATGCAAATATATACTTAAATATGTGTGTAACCGAATAAGCATGGGGTGCAAAATGAATGACGGAAGTTCCACCCCTATGTCCACGCCGTTGCGATAAGGCGGATGAAGCCGGCATTGTGTGTTCAAAAGCAATTATTTATCAGCTTAAAACTGCCGTGGACACAGGGGTGGAACTTCCGTCATTCATTTTGCACCCCATGCTTATTCGGTTACACACATATTTAAGTATATATTTGCATACTGGTTATTGTTAATGGTACTGAGGAGACAATACGAAATGCGTGCATCTACCAGTTTTCGTCTTCTTACCGTGCTTTTCAAATTTCTGAAGGGAACTAACTGCTTTTAATGTGATTAGAGCTTGTAACACTAGCCAGCAGCTTATGCTACTGAGCTATGGGGGAACGATAGCCGATCACCATGAATTGAAATCATACTGCGATATAGCCCGACCCATCCTCCGCTGCCATGCAGGTTACTGCCCGGGTAGCGATATTTGCCTGATAGACGCTTCGTATCCTTTTCTCTTCAATTTATCGCACTGTTCGCATACTTTAGATGATGTAATCATGTGGTTTCCTTGTCTTCACTTTGTATCTCAATCTCTTTCATTTCATCTGGTTGCAGGCTCTGTTGGCTCAGTGTGATTCGGACGCTCGTAGTGAAGAGCTCTTGTCAGGATGCGAAATGTTGATCTCTCGGGAGCAAATGGGCGAGCGATTCAAATTTATGGCCATTGTCTCGCGCTCGAAGGACGATGGCACGCCTCGCCTAGAGGTTCCCGGATTTGTGGACCTCCCCGGCACACCCTATTCCCAGCCTGCAGCCTGACTTAATTCTCCTTATGCTTACTCACTTTTTTTATTTCTACATTACCCTCTTTCATGTATCCATATTTCACAACTCTTTGTTGTTATGCTGGTCATGTAGGTTGGACATTGTTGTCGGCTTTCCTACAGCGTGCTCCGTTGTCATTCTACAGGCTGTCCGTAAGGTCTGTGCATTTATGACAATTTGATATTTTTCATTAAATCCAAATTATTGCCAGCTTTTTTGCCTCCACAGATTAAACATAGTTTTATCAAAGGAAGAATGAGTTGAGTTGGTACTTTTAAGTGAACATGAAAGATGCTCATATCGAAAGAGCAGATGAGTTTGATGTACGGCTTTCGAGGAGAATTCAAATTGGTTTTTCGACGGTGGCGAAAGTGATCATTATATTTAAGGAAACAGGCAGCATCATGGACAAACCGCTTTCTGGGCGACCAAGTCAATCAGTCAAAACTACCTCCATTGTTGTGTCTGAAATGTACATAAGTCCCAAGAAACAACCGACAGGACATCTTTGGATTAAGGTATTTCGAAATCAGCCGTCTGTCAAATCTTAAAACAGCGAAAGTTTCATCCATACACATGATAACTCTTGCATCACTTAACAGATGATGACCCTGGTAGAAGAATTCAATAAATGTTTTTCCAAAAACTGTCTGAAAACATCCATTTCACAGAAGACTATTCTATTTAGCGATGAAACTTTGTTTTATGTGAATGCTAAGACTAAGAGACTAAATGTTCGATGCCAGTCGCAACAACATCCGCGAATGTATGAGGTTCGTTAAATGGTAATTTCCCCCAGTTGGATTGCATGACGTGGTCATAAGGGGGGTGGTCCCATCGTTCAACAGGTACATCGAATGCCACTTGGAAGACTTTAATCCTCATAGATTATTTTTCTGGGGTATGCTTAAGCAGAAAATGTACTCAACGAAGCTAACGGATCCGGATAAACTTCACTCAACCAATAAGGAGTGGATGTAATGAACTTGATAACAATGTGGATTTATTGCATCGTTCACGAAAATTTCGCGAAACACATCAGCATTTGCATTGCAAATGAAGATTTTATTTAAATAAAAAGTTGCATTTTCGCCCATGTGTCCACATTACGGACACCTGGTACGACACCTTCCTACCGAACTCAGAATATTTCCATATCCGAATCCTTCACTTCATCGAAGTTTGGGCATTTAACTTATTGACACGAGAAAACTCTGTTTTTGAACACGAAGGTTCCTTTGTTGGGTTTTGGAGTGTCTGGATTACGACACGCATTCTCAATTCAGGTAAACCACTTCCATTTCGACCGTTAGTATCGCATTTGAAGTGCAGAGCCCCGTGGTGCTCTCTCCAAACACTATACTCCACGACCTACCTCTTTGGTCCTGGTTTGGACTGTCTAGGTAAAGATGCTTTGTACTGTGTGGAACCCGACACGTAATGATTAACAGCTGCAGTCCACTCGAATGTTGTCTGTTTAGGTAGTAGGATGCCCCTTTGCTTAGAGTTGTGCATTTGCCATGCCTTGACTGATTCTGTTTATCTGATGCTTAACTGTTACCTCTGTCTAGCTACTGTTGATGACATATATATGTCATCTTCACTTTAAATTTGACATTTTCAAATTCGGTTGGGACCGGAACAGTGTTTATTTTCCTGCGTATCGTTGAATCATGCATTAATAACTCGATTTGAGATATTGATGGACCTACAACAGAAACTGCATCACACCTTGGCCAACCATTTACTGCCCACATATCCTGCCCAACAGTCACCGCCGGACCGGTTACGTGAAGTAAGAAGGAGTGAATGATAAAATCCAAAAGCAAGAAGAAGGAATGTCAGCTAAATAATGATTATACTAAGGCATGAGAGGAAATGAAGAAAACGAACAGGAAAAAGCTGCGGATGCAAATCGGTTTAGAGAAGCGGAAGGCTGGCTATTGCCACCCAAGGCCATTTAACTGACGCTCGAAACCATCAACTGTAGTTTCCCTAACGATGTGCTCCCCAAGCGAGTTTAAGGATTCAATAACTCGGACGACCAACGTGTTTCCGTCTTAACCCGGTCAGAACGCATTTTCTGCAGCTTCAACGCGTGGCCGCGAGACTAGACAGCTTAGGGGGGCTAAATAGCCAGGACAAGTCTGGATCGGTCTTACACATCAAAATATGGTGAATGAGGATCAAGTTCCCTCTAATTCTCCGGTAGTGCATTGGGTACATTCCCAATCTAAGCACATGTTTGGGATACGTCTGTCCTCGCGAACCCTTCACTAACCTTATACCCACTTGCAAAACCCTCTCCAATTCCATTTTGTCACGTACAAGACATGGTGGAGAAGTCCGGATACAGTATCCCAGGTGTGATCACACAAAAGCCGCGAAAGCCTTCACAAACCTATCGGCCGTTAAGGCTACGAAAGGACGGCAAACAAACCACATCATACTAAACCCTCTACAAGCAGTTTTCTTCCAATCGTCCCCTTAGTGCAGGGTCGTAGGGTGAACAATACCTAGATCAACTTGCTGACTGACAACAGGGATTTCAACTCCGCCAACAACTTATCTTTTGGGAGGACTTGCCGCTCCGATGCGGAAGGCAGAACACTTCACCAGATTAGTGGGCATCAAACATATGGTTGACCAATCCCAGAGCCTATCCAAAGCACTCAATCGCGTACTGGATATCCCACAGCTCGAGGTTATCTACATGTTGTAGTGACGGTACATCATGCTTCGGGGTGTTATTTACACAAATTGCGAAGAGCAACGGTCCTAAAAGCGAGCCCTGCGTAACGCCACTGAGAACAGCCCGTCTAAGTGAAATGCTACGCCCCACGCGTACACACTGTTCTCTCTAGAAAAGTGAACACCCATTTAAGAGAGCCACCAGATATTCCATAAGACCTCACTTCTAGTGAGTCGTAAATGTGGGACAGTATCAAAGGCTTTTGAGAAGTCGACAAAAAAACGTCAATAGCGTGTCCTTTGTCCGCCGCCCTAGCTCAGCTTTCACGAGCTACAAGTAAATTTATCAAACACGAGAATTCTTTACGGAGTCCGTGTTGTGTAGTGCTGAGAGGGTTGAATTTATTCAGGTGCTTCACCGAATCCTTCATTAGTTTTTTCAAACGACGGTAACGTTTGTCGAACTGGTAGTTCGAGGGCCGAGTACTGTCACCATCCTCAAACATCAGATAAATGATTGCCTCCTTCAATTTTGAAGCGCAGACAGCTGTCAAGCGATTTTGTCAACCCGCATGTAAGGGGACCACTTGCTGTAAATTATCGAATATAAGCCGATGATTTTTGAACAATTTTTTGTTTCTATAGAGAGGGTCTGCTTATAAAAAGGATATACGGAATTTGAAGAAAGACACATGCAAAATCCACCAAAGAATTCACTGCCCACCACTGCACTTATCTCCACAGCACCACACGCTAGTGACGGACAGTATTCCAGATGGGGTTTGGAAGTGCCTATAACGGGACACGTTACTTTTGTGTCGAAAATTCTTGGTATATTGCACATTTGACGTACGCGACGGATGGCATTAGCGAATCAATAGCCCTTAAACATTGTTATGCCAAGCGATCCGGTGCCTTAAAAGTACGTGAACTTCGCTCTCACCCACTGCTCTACTTTGGTTCATATGTATGAGGTCCCACTCTCACCTTACGCTATATTGTTGCCTGTTTCATGTGACTTGACGTCTGGTCAATACCCTGTCCGGTGTGGTGAAAGTGCTCTGACAACCCTACGCCCCATTAGCCGCGATTAAAGCACATTACGGTCGCCACAAGTGATCAATCGTAGATCTGGTTTCAATTGAACTCACTCAAATGAGAGCATGTAGTGATGACGTCAAAATTGTAGGGAAACAATTTCTTTTCTGAAGTAGATGAGAATATCCGTAGCTCGGGTTGTGGATGCGGATTTTGAGCTGTTCTCCGAACTGAGTGATTATTGTGCAGACGTTTCGTTGCCTGACTAGGCAACATCATCAGTGCGGTTTCAGGGGCCTGGTTCGCAGTGCCTCGTAAGCGACTTCAATGTCGAAGTGCTTGTTGATTGAGTTCTGTTTTGAATGCCATGCTTCAATGAACTCACGTGCTTGCCGGCTTTTGACCCTTCCAAGGATACTGGCATGCTCTAGGTCGAATTGATGATTCTCGGCATCCATATGCACTGACATCAGGGAGTTCTGATCGTGGTGACGAATGGCTAGGCTGTGTTTGTGTAGCGTTGGGCCAAGCTTTCTTCCAGTCTGTCCCACGTAGTATTTGTCGCAGTTCTGGCAGCAGCTCTTCTAAATCGCACCAGTTTCTTCCTCTTTGCTAGATTTATCTTTCACTTTGAAGAGTTTACTGCGAATTGTTTCCCTTGGTTGGTATGCAACTTCGACTCCAGAAAGCAATAAGAGCCTCGCTGCCATTTCAGAAATTCCGTTGATATAGGACAGTGTTGTTGTCTTTTCAGCTTTTGCATTTGTCGAGGTGTGTCCAGCAACCTTTTGTGGTGTGAGGCAGCGTAGAATGAAGCCTTTGGGGTACGAGTTCCGTTTGAGCAGATTGAAGAGATGGTCTTCTTCTGCCCGTCTCAGCTACGGTGTGCTGCAATTGGTTTGTGCTCGTTTGAAAAGGGTTCGCACGCAGCTTCGTTTGTGGGCTGCCGGGTGATTGCTGCCGTACTTGAGTATCTGGTCCGTGTGCGTAGATTTTCGGTAGACTGTTGTTTCCAATTGTTCAGCATCAGTCCGTCGTATGGGAACGTCTAAGAATGGTAACTGCTCGTTGTTCTCCTCCTTCCTGGGGAATTGGATGCTATCGAACACACTGTTGATTAGTTCGGGTGTTCTCTCCAATTTGGAACGTTTGTGGATGACGTAGATGTCGTCTACGTATCGTACCCAAAGTTTTGGTCTAGCGATCGGAAGTGCAATTAGTTCCAGCGCCTGCATCACTGCCTCGGCTATCAGACCAGAGATCGGCGATCCCATTGGTGTGCCTCTTATCTGTTCGTAAATTTCGCCATTGAAAGAGGTCAGCTAATACATGGACTTTGGACAAATTTGATGTTGCCAAGTTATACTGTCGGCTTATCTATGGACGGGCTTATGTTCGGTAATATACGGTAGCTCAGCGGTTAATTCATGCAGTAGCTTCGGATGAATTGAATCGGAGCCAAAAGCTTTAGAAAGGTTTTGCCCTTGAAATAGCACGAAGACTTGAGTCTCCGTTACGCTAATTTCATTTAGGCAGGATTCCTCCGCAATTCTTGAGATCATCTCAACCTGTTGCAGTGGTCTCACGAGCAAAGACATCGGTATATGGTTCGCTAAGTATACAAGCCTTATCATAGTCAATATGCTCACCGGTCCCGTCCGCTAGTAGTATCTATGGCACAGATGAGTTTGCGCTGCTGTGCCACTTTACGTAAGCAAAGAACTTTGGATTAACTGCGGCTGTATCAACTACATCCTCGTATTGGAGATGAGCAGTCCTGAGATGCTGCTTACGTTTATTTCTAACCTCTCAATAGCTCTCGTAGGTGCTAGTTGATGGGGCCGCTTGTTGAGTTCGCCAGCACTTAAATCGCTTTCTGTGTAAGT